ACAGCAGACATTTTCTTGCTGAAAATTCCACAAAATCTTTTATACGATGAACATTAGTTGCACTAGTGTCCTCTAATCCGACAATCAGGATTCAACTATTCGAGTAATGACGTGAAGTTGCGGTAGTATCCGAAGTAATGGTGAAGTATTCTAGGCCTGATCCATATCCCAAATACCCAGGATTTGTTTCGGATTCGTTTTATGTTCGAAACAAATATTTTTATCACCTTGTACGTTAATGCAAGAAGATAAGGCCAAGATACAAATTATAAAACGGAGTTATCAAAATTAAACAAGTACAAGAATTTAAATATCTGAGAAGTGTCCCCCCAAAGGGAACGCGAGAAACCTGGCGGACACAGCTGTCAGAATTACTCTCCAATGTCAATCTGCTCTAGATAAACTACAAGTAGAACAAGCTTTAAACAAGCCGGTATCACTGGAATATGTTTTATGATGTAAAACTCCATTGTCTTTAAGCGTTTGACCTACCAACCGGTGACTCCAACCATATCGTCAATATCCGCTGTCTACAGTAAACAGGTGTTTACGCTCTTCAGTCTCTATGTCCAACCCGACAAAATGGAAAATGGAAATGGAAAATACTACTCTATGTAGATATAAATGGAAATGCTACTCTATGTAGCATTCTTACAAATAGTCCATTAATCGGTAAAATCATTATTCTTGAGTGTGGGGATTATAACAAAGTATACCTGGGAAGTGTTTTAACAGAAGACGGAACGTGTGACATTGACACCCGAAGACGGATTGGGATAGCGAAAAAAGCCATCTAAATCTAAGCAGAGTATTAAGAAACAGAAAAACTTCGTTAGAAACAGAGAGAAAAGACTATTGAGCTGTTACGTTATATATGTCCTCCTGTATGGCAGTAAATGCTGGACAATCTCCTCAACGATGAAAAAGAGATATGAAGCAACAGAAATGTGGTTCTACAGAATGGGATAAGAATACTATGGACCGAACATGCAAGAACGTCGAGGTTTTAGAGGAAATGGAAACAAAGAATAAACTTATACTTAATATCAGGAAGAGACAGTTGAAATTTCTAGGGCACATAATGAAGAAAGAGGGCTTAGAAAATTTGGTGCTCACAAGACAGATTGAAGACAAGAGCAACAGAGGAAAATAACTCATAACATACTTAGAGAGCTTATGTAAATGTATGGCGGAACAGAGTTTAGGAAAAATAAAGAAAGGATATAATTTATTAAGAGCTATAAATGAGAGAAAATTGTGGAGAGCCATGATCGCCTACGAACTGAGAAGAAACGGTACATAAAGAAGAAGTAGACATTAATGAAGCTGATCATTATTTCTAATCCGGTTCTTTAGCCAATTCGTCATTGTCTCCAGGGGTAGAAAAGGAAATATATAAGTGACTCATCTACGTTTATTCTTTTGCCTTTTTTGTTCAATTTATTAGCTGATTAAAATCGTGGTTATTATCACAAAGAAAAACGAACAACTAATCTTTCTTTATGAAGGTGAAAAGATGAGAAATATCAAGTTTAGGTCACATTGGCTCGTCTCTTCAAGTTGTTTCGATCTGTAACTTTCAGTGCATATTTACATTATATCATTTAATATTATCAGATCATATCATAAGATTTGAATTTATAGGCTTTATAGGCAAAATTTAAATGCTCACAGAATAATAAACATTTTCAAAATTTTTCATAACTGTTTCTGTTAGCAGTGTCAAAAATTTCTTCCAGTATAACTTGTTCTCAAACTAGTTTGATAGATTAAGATCCTGAATTTCATTCGTGATTCAAATCGTACATGCTGGCTGTTGAGTTTCTTTCAAATGAACGAGTTAAGTTCCATTAAAATAAACATTAACGATATTTTCAATCTGTATATTCATTATGTCATATCCTTCATTTCCTCGTTAGAACAATATATATCAAGTTTGAAATGTGATTAGATAAACTGACAGAAGTAAATCGATATAAAATCGTTAAATTTTAGAAAAGTTAATCGAACTCAAGGGAAATTCTTTGAAGTCAAAGAAGTATCAATCAGGAAATAATACAAAATTAAAATCATTGTAGCTGAAAATACGAATAGACTCATTAATGTTTGCGTAAACTTTTCTAATCGCCTGAATATTCTCCATTTACAAGAGTATATACGCTAAAGAAAATCTTAAACACATTTAATTTCATGTAATTTCTGATTTACCTAAAATTATATTAAGAAATATTACATGACAATTAAGTTTAAATTATTTGAAAAAACCGATGGGCATAACTTGATTCAAGCATAATCTATAAAAAAAAACAAATTTTCTGAATGAAAAAGAGAAATAAAGGCAGAGGGGAAAATAGAGAGAAGGGAATACACAGGAGAGAATAAAACCAAGAAATTAAATATAAACTTTCACGACACAGAAATCTACATAACTGTAGATAAAAGTGAGTCTTTAATCATGATCCACTTAGTAATGTCTAATGTTACAATAGCATGTAGTTTTAATAGTGATATTACTAATAAATAAAACCAATTTCTAAATGTTATCTATTGATCGAAGCATTTTTTTTATTTTACGATATAAGAAGTTACTACTAATGAATGACGTCCTAAAAATAAAGTACGAAAGGGAAAGTTCCAAATATTATATCATATTTATATGTGGATGAAATTATAATACTAATGACAAAGATGATTACAAGACTCAATTCCATAAAGATACTTTTTTTTCTCTGATTAAAACAGGAATTTAAAAATTAAAAAGAAACATTTTTTGGTTTAAATCTTATTCATAGAATTCAGACATTTATCAGCGTTCCCATCGAAATTAAAAAACTTCCTTTTTTTTTTATATATATATATATATATATATATATATATATATATATATATATATATATATATATATATATATTATAAATTGATTTATTTAAAATATGTTTTTTTCCGCTACACAGTTCTAACCATCTTTTAAAAGAACACCGGATTATATATCTTACTGTTCTTTCTTTCTATATATATATATATATATATATATATATATTGAGTAACGAAAGCGTCATTTTCAGGTCACTGGAATATAAAATAGTCGTTGTTCATTAAAAGCCCCTCACAATTATACTACGAAAAAGAACTGTAAAGGGTTACAACTGATAGAATCTGTCATCGTGATTCTATATATTAAAGTATTTTGATATAATTGATGTAAAAGAATGAAATAAAATGCCTAACTGAAAATAAAACCATTTTAGGCATATTCTGAAATGCTTAAATTTGAAGAATGATATTCCACAAGACAATTTCACCACTTTCTAGTTTTTTAATTACAGAGAATAATGTATAGCGTCTCGAGGAATCGGTGAGTCGATTTCGAATTCCAGTCGAATCCATTACATTCACTTACGTGCTAATACCTCTGGGAAAGGTATGAATCCGTCCTCCAGCTATGAGTAAATAGCAGGACAGACCGGGTTCTATAGCCTTGGATGGCAACTGGTCTACCACAGAAAGAAATGGCAACCCACCGCGGAAAAAAAAATCTGCCTCGTCAGTCATGTATCGAAAGATACATGATCACCTAAGCGTGCATCACGCATGGCACATAAGTGACTGAATTACAGACATAAAATGGGAAAACGATATATAATTTTTTAAAAATATATATCGAGAACAATTTTGAGGGAAAGATTTATGACAAAGTGGAAAAAGTTTTCGCCTGACGTGTTTCGTCGTTTTGGACTTCATCAGACTAAGTTTATATTTATGTTGATGCGAATACACCTGCGGAAAGGTTTACAATAGATAAAATCTCTCATGGCGCGGACCTAGGGATTCTATATTCTATTCTATATATTAAAGTTTTTATATACTGTAAATTGATGGCAAAAGTATCTATTGTAATTGTGAGAAGCTGCTTATCTGAAAACAAAATCATTTTAGACAAATTCTGAAATGACTTCGACTATGTAGAATAAAATTTCATGATTTTTGTATTCTCTAATTGGAGATATAAAATGAACCATAAGGAATTTTCTGTGAATAATCTCAGAGCTAATATTTTTTTAATCTGTATCACCTCATGCAATGCATTAAAGCCACAAAAACGCAAGGGGTTACAGGATATGAAAGAATAAGGAACATAAACATTAATAATGAATGGAAAGAGAAAAGAGTAATCAGGAGGATAATAGATAGTGATTGACATTGCATTTAAATTTTTTGAAGATTAAAGTTGACTGGAAAGCATAGAACAGGAAGGGAGTTCCACAAAAGAGAAGTGCGAGAGAAGAAACTGTTATTATGGCTACATCGAGACAGCTCAATTTTAAACTGATGTGTTATCGACGCTAGTCTAGTACTGCGATTAAATTCAAAATGTCTAGATACCATAGCGAAGAGCTCATCCGAGCAATTATCATGAAATTATTTATAGAAAAGGCCCAGAGAGGCAACCTTACGGCGGTGGGCAACTGAATGAAACTGAACCACCAGATCAGGACCAATAATATTGCTGATTCTTATATTTATTTATTTATAAAATATCCTTATTTACGTCTGACATATTTGCGATATACATTTTAGCGTAAGTAATATTTAATTTAGAATTATTTAAAAAAATCTCTGATGTTATATTTGCGTTCCAATCAACCTTGTTAATTTTAAAGTTAATACTAAATCTACATCATGGCGATATATAAAGAAGCATTTAAACTTTTACAAAATAATGACATTAACATAAGACTTAGTTACAAAATAAGGTAATATAAGACATATCTTAATGCAAACAGGTTGCAATGAATGCTATGGCAAATTTACGGCAAGACATTGTCTTTTGTCTGGTGTTAGACTGCATGCTTCATAATGTTCTCAACTTCAGAAATTATATCAAGATTTGAGAAATTCTATTTTGTTCTCATGATATAAAAGAAATGGTAACAAAGAAGTATTGGGAAATGAAAGGAAAATGCATTAAAAATGTAATTAAAACCTCAAGAAATACTTACTGTGACTTGAAGTCTTTCACTATGAACCTTGTCCAAAAGTGACCCGAAGAACGTTGTTAAGAACCATTTATATATTTATCAGCTGGTATGCCGGGTGGGTGGCGATTATTAGGTAAGGTAGGTGTTAGGGGGTAAGTGTGTCGACAGATGCCTGTATGGAACGGATTGGCAATGGAAGCAAATCTGAAGGAGGAGGAAGGGAGAGATAGAGAAAGAAAATAGAATAGAAAAAAGCGCACAAAATACAAATGCTTAGAAAACTGATTGGGGAGGGCGGTGGAGCTTACAGCATCAACAGGCCTGGGTAACTAAGTATTTTTTTTCTTTCTTTTGCATACTCTCCTCTCTTAATCAGTTCAGTGTTACTTCTTTGAATTTTTGTCGTTTCTCATGCGACATTCTCCGCCCTCTTCCCCCGCATCTTCTTTTTCTTTCTTTAATTTCTTTTACTGCTGATTAATTAACTGCAAATCAACATCTATGACAACTGAAGGGATAAAAGTTGATGAGACATACCAAATCTATAGTTCAACTACTGCCATTCAATGACACAACTTTTTAAATTTTGTCTTCCCTTTTTCTAAATTAAACAAAAATATTTACCAAATTTATTTACTATTTTCTTTTCCGTTCTCAGAATTTTTTTTGTTGTTATTTCGTTTAAGCCAAACTTCTTACTAACCTAGCTGATCTCGGAGACCATCAAGTTGAAGAAGTCAGTGATTATATAGCAAACCATACACACAAGAGACGACATGAATAAATACTGTATAAAGAGAGAGAGAGAGAGAGAGAGAGAGAGAGGGGAGGACTTATTAGTATTGAAGATTATGTTGACAGTACAATGGTTTGTTTCGCAGACTGAATACGACAGAATAAAGATAGGATAATCTTATAATCCAAAACTTATAAATCACCTAAGAACAAGAAAAAAAAAGGCGGGAGAAATAGAGATAATCTTCATAAAGAGTATAAAAGAAAAACGAAGGGAATTGCAGACGAAAGAATCTAGATATGGTACTGTCTAGCACACTTGAAACTGGAAGGGAATCTTTAATAATAGTAGTTCAGAATAAGTGTTTTTGTAAGTTCTATACTAACAGTTTCATTTCTCGCTTCCGGTTGTATGTTTTCCAATCAATATTGTTCATCAAAAATCTAAATGCGATGTCAATCGTCATCTACTGTCTTCTTGATTACTTTTCTATTGTTCTCGCTCTTCAATTATGTTTCGCTTTTTTGTTATTCTTTAAACCTTTTATTGTCTCAGTGGCTTTATTGCCTTGCATAGGGTGATATGATGAAAAAATAACCTATATCAAAGCCAAGAGTCATGGAACAGTAGAATTGCAAATATCGAAACAGCGATGAGAAAGCAACAAACTGGATAAAATATATAAGACATAGATGCAGATAGGTAGGACTTTATTTGTTTTTTACGCCCTTATGGGGCTTATTTAGATAAGCCACATAAGGCGTAAAAAAACAAATACACCGAAACATATTTTGAATTGTAAGAATAATTCAATGTTTGAATATTCCACTAACAATATTTTGAGAATAACAAACATTTGACTGGGTAGGAACGGTGATTCACTTGAAATTGTTCAAATGCATAGAAAAAAGATGTGTCCGACCTGGAAACTAAATCGAATCATTTCAAACAAATAAGAGAGAATTTTTAAGATATTAGATTTTTTTTCTTTCGACCATACCTAATAATGTAAGTAAAAGAAAGTATGAAGCTGTCTAAATATCTAGAATATAAAGGTAACAATTTCGCTCATCATCACTGAAAAAAAATAAATGGAAAAGTCGAGAGTCTTCCGGAAGGAATTTGAAATCTTCAGAATAATTACAAACTTGTAGGAATCCATTTATTATCACATGAGATAATGGCCACATCCTTTTTGGTTAAATATTGTCTTTTTTTTTTAGCAACGTTTGGCGTTGCTTAACAGGCTGATCCTTGTATGACACTCTCTTCCACAGGTGTGGCAGATGAAGCTTGAATGTAGAAAGGAGATCTTTGGAATGAATTATTCTCTCTACTTCCTTCGTTCTCTTCTTATCTCCAACAGTTGGTTTCGCAGTTTCCCGGCCTTTGTCACTCCTCCATGAACAATATGGTGGCAACATGGTTTACTGGATGTTTTCAGCTACAAGAACCAATGCCTAGTCAAATATCAACCTGAGAAATATTCAATAAGAGCACTTAAGAATACAGTGGAGATTGTTGTCACTTGATTTCTAGTAAAATCCACTGGACAGGAATGCCTTGAAACCTCAGTAACAATTGTCGCAATAATTACAAATAACATCAATAACATTTAAGGAATTTACGTACATTCAGTAACTGGTGGATTTAACTAAGACTTAAATAACAACAAGATTTCAGGATTCCTGTTGTCTTTTTCAAACGCCTCTAGCATCATAGTCAGGCTATTCAAGACTTTTACAAGCACGCTAATAATGATGGGTACAACATTCACAAAATTTTTTTACACAGTGCAGATGTTGTTTTCATTTTTGTTCCAAGTTTTTTGTTTCTTTTTCTGCAGATTATCAACCCTTTCCAGGTTATTTAAAGCCAGAAAATATTTCATCCTGGGTATGGCGATAAACTACATCCGCGTCCTGGGTAAGACGATAAACTATATCCAACAGCAAGGCCTCTGATCAGGAGGTTTTGAGGAATATGGTGTTCCAAGGTTCACCCAGACCCGCGGTGGTAGCACCTGTTAGGGTCCCAGCTACGGGCAAATAGTTAAACCCCAAGCAGAGGTCAAAACACTATGAAAGTTTAAAAATAGGTTTTAATACCAGCAATATATTTTTGTAAAAATATTACCAGCAATGAATTTTTTAAGGAAAAAAATATTACCAACAATAGATTTTTGAAAAAAGAAATATTACCAGCAATACATTTTGGGGGAAAATATTACCAGAAATACATCTAAAAAAAAATATTACCAGCAATACATTTTTGAAAAAAAATATTACTAGTAATAAAAATCTTGTCGGCATTAAATAACTCATTGAGGTTTATATGCGGTAAAACAAAACAAACCAAACCAGAAAATATTTTTAAATTGCAAGAATTCATTTTTTGTTTTTAGATAATAATGATTTAGCCATACACGTCTTACTAATTAACCCATAGCTGGGGGGTAAGAGGGGGGGGGGGGTTATACCTAATCAGAATTTGAGAAACAAACAAGAAATTATAATGTAGATATATAGTAGGGGATCAATTCTATATTACAATCAATACATAAACTGATCTCTCACTTTGTGACCACATTAGTTTCTATACATTTACATTTCACAGAATGTAAATAAATCTAAAAGACAAGTCTATGTAGCCAATCAATATTTCATTAAGTGATTCATTAATTTTCTACGGTTTATTAAGCCTTAGGCTATATAAAGTTAGAAAGTATTTTTAAGTTGTAAGATTTTTTTAAAAATAATGATTTAATCATATAAGTCTTATTAAGTAACCTATAGCTTGGGGTAGAAGAGGTGGATTCATACTTTTCCCAAGCGTATTTGCGCGTAAGTGAATGTAGCGATCCCGACTGCAATTTGAACTCGGCTCTCCGATTAACAATTTCGAACCGTTATCTATTACACCACCCGCACATTAAAGCTTACAACAGCTGTCATTCCCAGACCTCTTTCCAAATGTACCGTTCGATTTTACTTAATAGTAATTTGGTGCACCAATATCCATTTATTTACCAAAAGTTTGCAAAGGATGGTCAACCATTGAGATACAGTGTCAAATACCAGTGGCTTGAACACTTCTTATTTGATCTCTGATCAAATCAATAGTTCCTATTTTGGTATTCTTTCTGTTCTGCTGTCATAACTCTACCAAGGCTTAAGGCCACATCACGTTTAGGCAGCGTTTCCCATACGATCACCGGAGTTAAACAACGTCGAGTCTGGTCAGTACTTTGATGAGTTACCACTTGAATGTGCAGATGGTGCAAGGGATAAAGGCTCATATTTGGAAATCGGAGAACCGAGTTCCAATTCCCGTTGGTCTCGTTATATTCACTTACGCGTAAATACCCTTGGCAAAGGTGTGAATCCAGCTCTGACCCCCCTGGTAATGGGTCTATTGGTAAGAATTGTACCCCTAAAACCATTATAATCTAAAGAAGAAATAAGATTCTGAAAATCTAATGATATTTTCTGGCTTTAAATAACTTGCAAAAAATTGATAAGTCGTAGAAAGCGTAACAATCACTAACTCCACTAGTATAGTTGCTTCTCAGATGTTTAAGTGATAACACGTTTTCTCAAAATTATAAATTTATTGTCTATAACAGGGGTCGGCAGCCTTTTGGAGAGAGCGGGCCAGAAAGCTAGGCAGTGTCTTGAAGGAGAGCCATGATATCAAATGTAGTATGATAAATTGTCTCGAACTCAGAGCACTCAGTCCGGAAGGCTGCTTTGGTCTGGAGGTTTAAAGAAAAAACAACAAAGTTAATGTTATATTATTTAAACAAGCTTCCTTATTTTACTGCCGGAATAACACAATCTACAAAAAAATGCAAATTCCTTACTACGGTTAATTTGTTGAGATGGACAAAAATCCTTCGTGGGAGAGATGTGTCCCAGGAGCTGGGGGTTGCTGACCCCTGTACTATAAGTTTGAGAAGATTTATCAACGTATCCAACGTTATCCGGACGCTCAAATATCTTTTTTTTTTTGTATATTTGATTATCCATTTTTCAGCCCACGTTAAAAATAAAGGAGAGCACTTAACCCCAGAAATACGTCCAAATATACAAAGAGATTTGAGTGTCGGAATGTTGCACGTTTTTCAAGGCGCAATTTAACATTATTATTATTATGATGATTATTATTTTAATCACCATCATATTCGTTTCTCGTTCTTTCTTTTTTTTTATTGCACATTTCATTGTAACTTTTCTCTGCTTTCTGAGGCTTCTCCTCTCCTCTCCCCATTCTCCTTTGTTTCCCACTCTCTTCGCTTAAAACGTTTCTTTTCTTGCCTCCCACTACCAATCTTTGCAAATGGCATTCCCAATAAATATTAGTAGCACCTGCTTTACTCATGTAGCATTCTTCTAATTTCAGCCATTTTAATTAATGACAGCCTCAAATTAATCTCAAAGGTCTAAATTGGATTATCAACAAAAGAATGGTGAGTATGGAGACACTATGCCCGCTTAAACGTATGCAATACAATAACACGCATACTAAATAGAAACTGAAACGTTGAAACGCATTCATACGTTACAATGTTCATTAAAAGATTATTAATAGCTGCATAATTGAATATGCACACAATTTACTTTTTATATGAACGAAAAAGGCATATCTATATTTTAAAATATCTAGACAAACACAATGCTTTCAACTAAACAAATAAGATAACCAAAACCACGAAAAAATTAAAATAAATAAAAAAATCCAAATAAAGAAACAGATTAAGTAAATAATAAACAAATTAGCAAACTACGAATGCACAAATAAATCCAATGTGATGTAATAATGATAATCAATAATAAACATTAATTAAGTAATCAATAATAATGAGTAAAGAGTTAACAAACAACATTATAAAATATGTAAAAGTAACCGCAATCGGATCCCCAATTATTCTTACTCTTATTCTTAATGCTTCTAGAATAATTTGAAACATAACTGTTACCGAAATACCCAATAACTGTTAGGACCTTGCTACCCATAATGCACCATTGACCAAGTATATATAGATAGTCAATCCAAAACACAACACATATGTCTTGAAAATTGCGTTTAAGCATTAAACAGACTGTCACTGCTTGGTGTTGGCCGCAGTGCCCACTTTTATATTTACATGCGCTCTATCTATGATACTGAACTCTTTAGCCATAAACATAGCATGTCTTAAGACTATATATATATATATATATATATATATATATATATATATATATATA